CGTTTTTGCTGTATTTAATTACAGACAAGCAAACAAACAATCTCAGAGTTTTAGTAGTATATGGATAGATACTTTCTTCTATTCTCCAGGTTAATAGTCGTGTATTTAAGTTTATCTGTAGAATTGGAAGACTTTTTGTTTTAAGAATCGATGAATGAATCTAATTTCTTTAGTAGGTTGATGTGTGCTTTAATTTTGTTAGTATGAGCTTTGAATAGCTATGGTATATTGACAGATCCTATACTGTTTATTGAATTATGTATTTTCTGATAATAGATCGTTAATGTTATGTTATATCTCACATGGTGATATTTGCTCTTATCTTGGATCATGGCTTTATTAACTTTTTGAGTGATCTTTGACATTGTGCAGTGTTGATAAGTAAGTGAACCTTAAGTTCTCTAGGAATTACATTATGTTATTACTTTTATCTAATTTACAGTTACGTTGTTCTAAATCCTTTTGCTCCCCCCCCCCCCACCATCGCCGCGGACGCCCATGGTTTCAGATACATAGATGTCTAGTGGTCATAACAAACAACAACTCCTTTTTTCGGTTTCCACTGGTCTCGTCTGAACGCGTGCAGCCACTTTCTAGACAATTCCAGATTTGAAGGCTACGAATGACTACCTCTCTAAGAACATCTAGGCACACAACAGGTCGTTTGAGGCATTTTGAGCTATCATATTTATGAAGCAAACAGAAAGCATGATAACATGGCGAGTCAAAGAACATAGATAATATAAACATCCGGGTATCTGACTATAGACAAGGACCGCATCACCACTGGCGCCCTCTACTGGTATCATTACCACAGTCCCTCATTACAAGGACAACATATTCATTGTAAAATTCGTTGAAGTGCCTGTGGCTCCAGACTCTTCGAACATCCCGTGCATCCAATACAACTAGTTAATAGTGTTACGACAGCGGAAGTCACGTGACGCTGGTAACACGTCATGAGTTTCTGGAAGGATCATGACTGTTCCTGGCAACTCTAGTCTTTTCTACGCGCCCTTTATTTTAGTATATAAGCCGGCAAATAAAGCGGATAGATAATTGCAGACAGGGAGATATAGAGACAGATAATCAGTCAAGTGAGCGGTAGTGACCGTTAATAAATTGCGTGAATCGTTGTGAATTAAAGCGTGTGTTTAAGTTAAAGTAACTGTGGAAATTCTGTGTATTATAAAGTTGTATCGAGAAATAATAAACCAATTTTAATTAAGAAAGGACTTGTATCGCTAAAGTTTCTCGGAAAGAATTTTTACGGGAAAATAACAAACGAACAGAGACGTAACAATAGTAACTACCGTGAAATTGCGCACACAAACAAGAAATAAATTTGAAGATGTTAAAATAAAAGTGTATTTACATGATATCATATCTAAGTTGTAGTAACTAAATCTATTAAAACAACTACATGCATCAAAATGAATGTTCAGAGTTGTAAGTTAATTGCTTATGTGTATTTTTTACAATTGAAGCAATACCAGGCACCTTTAGGAGATTGTTTCATTTTTAAACATTCAAAATGAAACCATTCAAAAGGATAAATTTCATTGTCCTAAGTTCATAACCAACCATTTTTCCATGTTCTCAATTACGACAAAAATACCGTAAATTAGATTCTGTATTTTTATTAGAATAATAAAAAAATACTTAGTGTTAACTCAAGATACAACGCTAAAAACTGGGTTTCGATACCCTCGTTGGGCAAACCACAGATAGCCCATTGTCTCGCATTGTGTAGCCATACGCTTAAGAATAAGTAAAAGTAGATACTAGTAAACACCAGAATGTCAATATTACTTTCATTCTAACTTGTATGTTTTCAAAACTTGAAATGATTGAGGTGTTTTGAAGAGAAATTTCTAACCAGTTGAAGCTTTAGTGCATTCATCACATTGAATGTTGTATATTTACTTGTATGGCCGACGGAAGTGGTTTCTATTAGTTTTGTGACGTCAGTGGGAACAATTTGGTACTAAATATTATCTCAACCAGGACATACTCGGGCTTTTCCGTCGCACCCAATAACGTCATACCCAACACTCGCGGTTGTTATTAGAAATTGTTTGCATCGCTTTCGATCACATGATTCAAATAACAAACTCAGAGCTAACATTAAATAGGTGACTAACAAGAACATAGTCCCGGTGTGACAGTTGAATCTGAAATCAAAGGTAAAGTTACTTTAAATAATAGTATTTGTGAATTAAAACAAGTATGCAAACGAAATAAACAGTAGTAAACTGCTATAAAAATATCGGTAATATTACCTAAAATATCTTGCTTAACATGCATAATTTACGAGAAGGATATAACATGAATGACTGTCTCGCTAGCGCCATACGCATGCGCATTACTACCAAAGGGTTGTTTACGTTAGGTATGGTGAGTATTTTCGTAAAGACTTTGAAATCTTTGCTTATTTCCAGTTTTCGTAACAAAAATATATTTTATTAGGTGTAACATGGTTACAGTACAACATCTGATTGAAAAAGAGTGAAAAATAAAGCATTTACAAAATTTTCCATATCTATTTTTCTGTATGATATTACATGTTTTTCGCCAGGGCAGTAGCGAATCACCAAAGCCCATAAAATCAATGTGTATTGACTGTATTCCTTACTATTATACCTGAAAGTGTTTTTACGAATATATGTACGACGGAACAGTCCGATCGATGTTACGATTGGTATTATCTGGGGTACTATAACATTTTGGTATATTGTCCAATCACAGCAGTGATACTTTATACGCACTGTCCCTTAGTCAGAAAATAGACATGTGAACGTGCGAATATGCACGATACAACTGTTAACTAGAGTACAATTTCATCAGAATTTACCTTGAAACGCGGTAACATTTGTTTATAAATTCTTGCGCAGCCAGCCCACTGAGCTAAAGTACAGAAGTTAGGCAGAAAGAAGCATATGGATCTGAAATTAGGAAGAGAAAAGTTGAGGGATATTTCAACAATCCTATTTGACCTCGATAATACTCTGATTGACACAAGGGGTATTGCCTTACGTGCTTGCAAAGAGGTAACCGAGATAATATTATTCGTGGAAGATTTGAAAAGCGTTTAATTGTAATATAAGTTTTAAATACTGTAGCCAGTACTAATAGTAAAAAACAAACACAGGACAATTTATATTGTACAGTTTACTGTTTGACATGGCTTATAAGTTATATTATAAAACATGTAATTTTTTATAATGTTAGCTTTAAAAAGTGTCTAAATTAAAAACAATTGCTGAATTTTCAAGCCTAGGATTTACTTGTGTTATTATTTACTTAAAGTTAAACTGTTCAATTTCAAAAGCAGATCCAAAACCTAATTTCTGTAACTTAAAATAGTAGTACAAGTTTCACTGGATTTGTATAAGATTATTGAGGGGTTACCTACCTCAATGAACTGGATCATTGGATAGCCTTTTGTCCCCTTGTTTTTACATGATTTTTTTTTATCATTACACTTTAGTGGTCCATAAACCCTAAAATTCTGTTAATAAAAGCATTATCTTTATGGCTAGCAAAAGAGCACTGCTCTGATGGTTTTGACTTATCCACCAAAAGTGGCACTACTCCAAAAACCTTTTCTTAAGTCATACCACTAGTACTGATCTCGAGTGTGTTTCCATTTTATGAGGCCTACCTAGAGTTTGTATAGATAAAAGTTCTATAATATATCCTTTATCTTGTATCTAATATTCCTGTAGATACAACCCAAAATCCTATTTGCTTTCTCACTGGCAACAACACACTGCTTGGAAGACTTAAGATACTGATTAACAAAAACACTAAAATTGCTTTTCTTCTATAACTCTGGTGAATTGATTTTTATGAAGGTGGTAAATATAGCTTGAATTAAGGTAGTCATGTTAATTACTTTGCATAATTAAATGCTATCTGTCATTTATTTGTCTAACTTACCAGATGATTCAACAATGGCATCTTACTCACAGGTAATTACACCCAAAATTGTTGACTATTCGCTTACTGATATCATTAACATTTGTCAAAAAAGAGTGATTGTCCACACACACATAGAGACTTGAGGTACAAAACTTTCAACTCCAATCCAGTTTGACCGATATTCATTTATTACAGCCCTTTGCTTTCTCTCTTCTAACCAACCTTTAATTCATTGAGCAAACTTATCTACCCATCCATCCACCTAGATAACTTGCTTTACTATTCTTTCATGTGGCACTTTGTGAAAAGCATTCTGAAAATTCAGGTGCAACATATCTGCATTTTACTCATCTATATAAGCAAAAGAAAGTCCAGATTTGTGAGAAGATTTTTTCCCCATATGTAACTAAGTGGAAAACCTTGTCGGCCCTAAGTACTTTTTTTCTTCTTATTCTCTGTCTTTTGACTTACCTATAAGGAATTAATATCTACATCATTCTGATCAATTCTAATATTTCCCAAATAATTCTCAATGTCAGGAATATTACTTAAATCTTTTCTCATAAAAACATCAATTTGATTTTCTTTCAAGTGACCTTGTACATTTGGGGACATGTTCTGGTGTTTAATCCAACATGTAGGTTTCATCTGGTATTCATTAAAGTTCATACTAGAAATAAATGACCATATAACACCAAAATGTTGTTTTTATATAATTAGACACTTAACGTTTCAATTTATAGCTTCTTCAGGATTGTTCACTAAAACACAAACCAAAACTTACTGTACAATATGCTCTACAGAAATTAAATAATTCTTTAAAATTGTCATTAGACCTATGCACCATTATCATACCTGGCTCATTTTCTAACTGATAACATTAATAAAAAGACCACCACAACATCAGATTCATGGTTTAACTGGATTATGTATTCATGTTCCAACATTTCTGACTTCTGAGGTTTTTAACACTCCTGTAATTGTGACTATAGACATTGAAGATCACTAATATTATCACCATTGTGTGTCATATGGCTGCCTCCTTTCTGACCTGATATGGATCAGGTAGCCTCTCTTTTATCTTTCACTGCTTGGATTTTGCTGAATCTTGGGTTTCCTCATTGCATGAGCCTAATTCACCTGGTGGTGGTTTAACTATCTCTTCTAGGCTTGGACCCTTTTCATAGTGATTTATCCATCTTTTGGTGTTTTCAGTGGATTTGCTTCTGCTATGGGTGTACTATTATTGCTGTCTTTCCACCTCCCATAAACCCTTCTCCTTATTTTGACTCATTTGGTGTCAAATCCCAGACTTTACAGGTCATTGATGTCCCATGTTTGAGAACTTTCGGTTGGGGATGTGGATGATCCCCAACACATTAACATTCTGTTACTTGCACAACAATCAGGTTTCACCTAACCTAGCTTTCATCTCTTTCCAATTGCCATTCTCCAATCTTCACAGTGGCTCTGATGGCAAGTTATTCTTCTCCTCCTTTGTCAGGTCTCACAACCAACTTTTTTCAACTTACATCTATATTATAGAGATTATGGAATTCAATGAGGGGCCAATGTTGACAACACCAGATTTGTGCCTGCCCTTACACCTGGCGTGAGCCCGCTGTCTTTAGTTGCGGTAACTCACAGCACTGTCTCAGTATTTGACCTAATTCTAGATGATTGTGCCTGATGACAATGGTCCATGCACCCCTCTTGTGTTTTCTCACATACAAATCTTCTCCTTGATTTTTACTAGTGGAATCCAGAAGTGCAGAGAGATTAGTATCTATCTGAAAAATTTCAGGTGTGGAAAAATGTCAACTTTTCTAAGCACAATCTTTACAAACAACACAACTGAACTTGAAACTTCTAACTCATTAATATAAACCTAACAATACAAGTTAGGTTAAAGAACAAAGAAAAACAAACAAAACCTTCAGTAACTCCACAAGTTATTACAAAATCCAAATAGTAATACAACACTTTCAAACTCTGATTAATTATAAGTTGCAACACTTACATGAATAAACTCTAACAGAGTTTCAACAAATGTTTAATCTAAAACTCCACATTTTTCAAGCATCTGCCATATGCAATCTTCAGTTCACTTTTACCAATTTCATTAGAATCTACTGTTGCAAATTAACTTTTTGTGGGGAACCTTATTGAAAGCTTTTTAAAAGAACATAACAGCATGAGAAATGACTTGTAGCTCCCTCAAAACTAAAAACAAGGTGTAATGTAGCATCTTCTCCAGAGGTTTTTTTTAACATACTGAATTAGTAATCTCTCAACTCATTGATGAACTTCTCAAACTAGTGTGTGAGCCAGTGTTTAATTTTCAGAAGAAAAGGTACCAGATACATGTTAATGAATGGTGTGTTTTTGGAAACTTAATCAGTCTATACCTTGAGTTTACCAAATGGGATGGAACTGAAGAGGAGTAATGTATTTGGCTATTTTAGTTCAAATGTCAATTTGCAATGTAACTGAGGCAGTCTAAAAATTATTTAGTGTTTTCACTTTTAGATAAAAAAATAAATAAAAAATAAGTTCAAAACAGGTTCAAGATTGCAGGCCTGGAGAGATCTAGCACAGATTAGCAGTTATATGAGCTATATTAATACATTATTAAAAATCTAAATTTTATTTCTCTAGGTAAGTAGATATCTATATGAGAATGGAATGCGGGACATTGCAGCTGAAATGTCCACAAAGAAGTTCTTTGAACACCTTTGTAAAATGCCTGAAGATCCAGGGCCTACACAGATGGATGTTGATCAGTGGAGAACATTACTGTGGGTACAAGCATTAGGTCCAAAGTACCAGTTCTTTGCACGAGACGCATATGATATTTTTAAAGCTAAAACAATGAGCAATTTTAAACTCTCTAGGGATGTGGAAAGTATGTTACTAGACCTAAAGAAGCACTACAAATTAGGGCTGATTACAAATGGATCATCTGAAGCACAGTGGGCAAAAGTGGAAAGTATAGATGGCAAGCAGTACTTTGATGTCATTCTTGTTGGAGGTGATTACAACCAGGGAAAGCCTCATGCTACCATATTTGAGAAAGCATTTCAAGTATTAGATGTCTCACCTAAAGATTGCATTATGGTAGGTGATAATATATGGTCGGATATCTATGGAGGGATTCAAGCTGGAGTGATGGCTACAGTATGGATTGTGCGTAATGAGGATGGATACCAGGACCTAGACTATCAGCCGGACTACAAACTCAGGAATGTCTGTGAACTTCTAGACTTACTTCCAGCTCAAGGTAGATTCTCTGGGCTGTGTGCAAAGAGAGCATTTGAATTCTATTCATCAGTATACAGCAGTTAAAGCCAATTTTTGTAACATTGACAAAAGTTTTTTACTGAACAATCGTAATAATTGCAACAAACTGAAGTGCTTTATATCAAGTTAACAGTAAAGTTGACTTTTTAAATACTGACCTGCATATAGAATACTCAAATACTTTTTTTTAACAAAATTTTTTACAACCTTTGACATAAAGTTACTGAAAGGTGTTTAAATAAGAAAACTTATTCAGTATTACTGATGGAGCAGCAAGGTGTAATACTATTTTTATTATTATTTCAATTCCTTAAGTTTTAGTTACCAGTCTTTGTGCAAACTAATTTAGTACTATTCCAAAGTACTTTTATTTATAATGCATTGGATGTACAAGCTTCTTGCATCTAAAATCTATGATCCTCTGGTAATCAGTCTATATACAGGTTAAATATACTTTGAGTAGAAAATGATAAAAATATTAGGAGTCTGGCTGAAATTACTACCCCAGTGTTTTAAATTGTTTTATATTTACTTCAGAGTATTATGCAAGATGTTTATTTGTAACTCATATTTGCATATACAAGTTATTTTAAGTATACTACTCACAATATGACAGTGATTTCAAGTGCAAGAGAACTTTTGTTCACTGGTGATTTTATTTGAATATTACAAATGAGTCCTATTTTTAGATAATGTTTTGGATAATTGAAAAAGATTGTCTGAAATAGAACTAATGCAATTTTTAGTTCAGTATGTATTGGGTTTATAACATTTTTTAACTTTCTTATAATTACTATTTTATGTGATAAACTTAGAAAATGCTTTTCTCATGATGTTAATGGCTCTATTTATAGAGATTTCTTTTAGAAATCATAACCATGAGATGAACTTAGATGAAGCTGAGATACTACAAGAAACTTTTTTAGTTATTTATATAGTTGGGCAGGTAAGAATATCAAAGTTGAAGAGTTGTTTTTCAGTTTATTGACACTGCCATTTTTTGGCCACTTGTGCTTGTGTATCATTATATATACATAGAAAACTGATTAGTTGTTTCCCATATGTATGTATGCATGTATACTTCAGGTGAAACACGTGGTAAGAAGTTCCTAGAATTTAAATCTTTTTTTGTATGTCATGATAGTATTTTTAAACATATTTTAGTAATTTTCAAAATATGTTAAGAAGCATTTATCTGTGTTATTAGTAGTTATTATTGTATTTATGTATGCTAACCATACCCCTGTTTTGTATTAATTACACATTGTTTTCTCAAATAAGTGAACTTGCTTTTTTTTTATTTTTTTTATAAAACATGTAGGATAAGCAAAGTTTTATATATCAAAAGCAGTTTGTTATTTAAGATGTACAAAGCCCAATTTTTATGATCACTAGCCACTTGCATGTTGGTCTGCAAGTCTAACAAGCATTTACACATACTTCATTTCTACTGTATCTCACATAAAACATGAGCTATAAAGTTCATCCCAGGGTAAAATGTTGTTTGAGAGGTTAACAGATTTTGTTTTTGAAAATATGATGATGTATCTGTGGTGTAATGATAAAGTGCTTGTGTGTACTTTGCCTTCTTATTAGTTTTGATACAAAAAACAAACAGATAAGGTCATAATTACTGTTCAGTATTGTCTTTAATATAATTAGATAGATGGACATGGATCATCAGAGACAAGCATATTATTAGTAATAAATTATATATTTAACAATGTAGCAAGTTTTATAACTTGCTTTGTATAGATCTTAATATTGTTTTACCTAGTTTAGTTTTAAAACATTAGGTATTGTACTAGATAACTAGTACTGTAGTATTACTATAATTGCTAGAAATTACAATGTAGGTATTTCTCAAAACAATTATATACTACCATAAATCTTTGAAAATGAGCACATGCTATATTCAGTTTTAGTGAGTGAGTTAATGGCTAACAATGTATGAAAACCTAGTTTTTTCAGTAATGTCTTACGATGTTGTCAATGAAAAACCTGGTGTAATTATTAGCATTTATAACATTAGTTGTTCATGACAACCCAGTGTTATCAGTGTCTTCCTATTTTAACTATATATATTTGATGTAAGTGCTACATCACAAACATTATTGTTTGTATTTTGTATGATATGAAAGCCTTATTTATTTCTAATATATTAAAGGTGATTTATTTTATGTTCCCACTCTTTAAAGTTGCATGTTATGGAAGAACTTATAACTTTTTCATAAAGAATTGCTTGTAGTTTATAAATATGTCTGAACTCTTATGTCCATTTTCAACCTTATGAATCACCACTTGGTAACCCTGACACAGGAAAGTGACCTCATAACACATCATAGTACTTTGTATAGAAGTAGACTATGCCTGTAATTATTAAGGCAGTTTGAATGCATTCCCTTTACAATTTTCTGGTATCTTATTTATACCTTGCTTATTTGTCATATAGAACGTACTCCTTTGGTGATGCCTTAATTTGCTGTACAGGTATATTTGAAAATTTAATAACTGTGTTTAATATTTTAGATTTGGCTAGTTTTCTGTATTTTCACACTTTAAATGCTTTTTTATATTTGCTAAAAAGTATGTTAATATATCCCTTTCACCAAACATTCAATTTCTACTTTTGTTCTGTGCAACACTTGGTGTAGATCAAGGTTTCTGTATACACTGTACCTGTACCACTAAACTAATTACAACCTTCATGTTTGATAAGATATTGAAAGTTCACTTGCATATTTATGGCAGAATTGTTCACATAAAAGTGAACTCTTTACGTGTATAAATTTAATTATTATGGCTATTTTTTTCATTTAAGTTTTTCATTATGACAAGATACTTTATTGTAATAATTTTAATATAAATAGCATTGTTTTTGAAATCATATACTTTTATTATTGAAATAAATAACTGAAAAAAAGTAAAGAAATGAAAATTAAGTAAATTATTAAAATTGTTCAACTTTGTAGGACATTGAATCCTTTATGGAAAGTTATTTTCCGTGAGTTTGAATTTGAGTGTGTTTCTTCAAATCAACAACAGTGAATATCAAGCCATTTTCAAGTTCAAAGTTCTGGTTTACTAAGCATATAGATTGGGAAATGTTAGTTAAGCCATGAAGGAGACAGTTTTTGTAAACTGTTTAGGATGGTTTTCATTGACAATTGGTTAGGGAACCTGCTAGAAACAACACTATTTCAGATTTATTGTTATCTTCTAATACAAAAATGGTTGATAGGGTGGAGGTTGGGGAACATCTGGGTGCAAGTGATCATAGCTCAATTAGGTTTGATGTTTTGCTGCATACATAGATAAGGAATAATGATATTTTGGTTTCAGTTTAAAAAAAAGAAAAACAACTTCTGAAGGGATGAGACAATAAGTATCTGCTGTGAATTGGGCAACTGAATTAATTGGAGATACAGATCAAATGTGGACAAATTTAAAAAATAAATTCATAAATATTCAAGATACGTATGTTCTTTATAGAAAAAAAAAGGTGGCTGCAAGTAAAAAACAAAACAACAACAACAAAAAAAAAAAACGTTGGCTCACTAAAGGTGTAAAGGAGAAAAGCATTGTAAATTTAAAAGCTTTAACTTGACTACAATGATGGGAGACATGGAGGATTATAGAAGATCAAGAGAGTTGGCCAGTGGTAAATTATGAAATAAAAAAAAAGAAAAAGGAAAACTATGAAAAAAGGTTGGCTAAAAATTAAAAATTAATAGTAAAGATTTCTTTAAATACAAATGTTAGATGGGAATAGGATCTTTGATGGAGGATAAAGGAAGTTTAATATTCAATGATTATGATATGGCCGAGTTATTAAATTCTTTTTCTTCAATTTCCAATAATGAAAATTTAAGCAAGATTCATCAGCTTGAACAATTGCTAGATGGAAACAAGATTGAAGAAGATGATTAGATAAATTCTGAGCTTGTTAAGAAAAAATTGGGAAATTTCAATAATGATATAGCTCCTGAGGCAGTTAATATTTACCCAAGGGTTTTGTAGGTGGTAAAAAATTGGATATGTGAGCCACTTGCTACCATTTTTTGTATGTCCTTGCATAATAGCCAGGTGTCAGAAGATTGGAAGTTTGCTAATGTTACTCCACTTTTCAATTAGGTGATAAAAAATTGTCCTAGTAATTATAGACCTAGAAGTCTTAAATCAGTTGTGGGAAAATTTTGAAAGCCTGATAAATGATGCTTTGCAAAGTCACTTAACAATATTTAAAAATTTATTGGATAGTAAGTATGGTTTTAGTAGGGAAAATTTTTGCCTTATTTTCATTTGGTAATCTTTGAAGATGTTACTTCTTAAGTATACAAGGATATGGGTGTAAATTTGGTTTATTTGAATTTTCAGAAAGTATTTGACAAGGCACCACATAAAAGGTTTGTTGAAATCTATCTCTGTAGGGGATAGGTTGACTCGTTGGATAGAAAACTATCTGGAAAGTAGAGGGTTGTTATTATATACGAAATTCAGTCAAACCAGATTAATATCATAAGTGGGGTGCCTCAGGGCTCAGTTTTAGGATCTATGCTATTTTTGAATTATATCAATGACATAGATGACGGAATGGTCAATAACTTACTTAAATTTACTGTTGATATTAAAGTCTTGTTTGTTGCTTGCTGTGAGGAAGATGCCACTGCTTTACAAAATGGTTTTGAATAATTGATGATTTGGGCAAATAAATGGCAGATGACTTGTAATTATAATAATAGCAAGGAAATACATGTGGGATATAATTTGAATTATTAATATAATTTTGATGGGAATTACCTTATGGAAGAAAAGGATCTGTGTTATAGTTGATCAGTCATTCAAAGAATGGGCTGTTACTAGTAGCATAGGATTTTAGGTTGTATCTACAGAAATGTTGAATACAAGTCTAAAGAAGTTATAATTTCAATATACAGGTCATTGGTTAGGCCACATTTGGAGTATTGAAGGCAGTGTTGTGCTCCTTAATTTAGGAAGAACATTTGAATTGTTGGAAAGGGTTCACAGTAGGGGCAATTTGGATGTTACCTGGAGTGGAAAGTTGTCATACAAGGATAGGTCAAGATCTCTGAAATTGTTTTTTCTTGGGAAAAAAGAAGAGTTAGATGGGATATGATTGAGGTTCAAGATTGCTAAGGGAATTGATAGTGTTGATACATCATTTCTTTTTTAATACTTAATTGTAAGACTAGGGAACACAAATATGATATTTGGCAGGGTAGGAGTCATCTTCAGCTAAGATAGCTTTTTTTCTAACATGGTGTTTGGCATTTGGAATGGGTTGCCTTCAGATGTGATACAGTTACTTCAAGAGAATGCTTGATAACTATTTGAATGATAAGGGCTGGCACTTAGTGGTCTCCTTAAATTATATGTATATTCAGCAAACCATTCTGAGTAAATGTCATACAGAGCCACTGAATAATCCAAAAAATGTATACAGAGAGGAAATTTTTGTTATAGTAATAAATGCATAAAACTGAAGTGTTCAAACTCTGCTCTCTTCCCAAACAAGCTGTAAATTAAGTTGAAAAGTACCAGTCTTTTAGATAATCTAAACAGCTACTAGATGATTAAATTTATTTTAACCTATGTTGTATTTTGTTTATCAATTTAGCCAGTCAATATATTAAGAAATAAATGTTTCTAGTTTACATTGTGTTTCATCAGATATAACATAATAATAATAATTAGTTTTAAAGCTGTGTAAAAACATGTTAAATAGTTTGTAGAAGTGCTCTGCCTGATGAGCGAAGGTTTCAGTATCTCAGAGCTTGTGGTTTTTAAATGAATCCAGTATTAAATTAAAAGTTAATTTGAAGACCTATTCAGTTATAACTAAGTGATACCAACCCTGTGCTAGACTGTGAAGATATCCAAAGTTTTCAAGTCTTTTAAGTCGTTTTCAAACCATTGAAACTTGCAAATTTGTAGGCTACCCAGTTTGTTAATGATCGTGGTTTAAGTTACTTCAAGCTTAATATTTTGTAGAACTAACCAATGTGGAGAAAAAATGAGCTTAAATGTATATTCAGATTTGACTTTTTAGTCTGTAGGATTTCCCCCCCCCCTCTCCACAGAACCATAGATTGGAACATGTTAGTAAGATCTAGAATTCTAAGGTTGTAAAGCCACAAACCAACCATCTGTCTGAGACAGTAGTTCCCAACCTTTTCTATCCCAGTACCCCTCTAGCAATCAAGGAAATCAGTCATTACCCTCAACTGCCCAAAGTTCGAAAAACAACAATCTAACTTCCGAGTTACTTCAGGATTAAAGCTGTAGGGGATTCTTCCAAAGTTGAAGTGGAGTTGAAACTTTCAAAAGCGGGGAAAAACAATACTTCACAATCAAAATTTGTTTTTTATTACATTCAACTGCGTCAACAGAAGGCTTTATCAAAAAATACAAAATCAAAAAGAGGATGCATGTAAGTACAATGATAATGATATTTCAATTACCATGCATCTCAGCTCAAATCACTGGGTGTTTGTTTAGTTCAGTGGAAAGGCTGAAACTGCATTTTGGCAACTAGAAAATTGATTCTCGGTACTGCAGCAGACAGAGCATGTTTCGGGCCTCCATTCACTACCAGTTTGCTTTGCACCTTGGTCTTGATGGCGACAAACGCTGAAAACTCTGTTAAAAAAAGAATCAAAACTTTCATTGCTCATGATGCCTGAATTGGATACTCTTGGCGAATTTGTATCCAAAACATGACTAATTTAGACTTACCTAATTCAGCTTCTCAGAGTAGTGTCTTGTCAAAGACAAAAATTCCGTTTTTGCCCCGAAGTCATCATCAGGCAGAACATCGTCTCCCACAGAAAAAGGTATCAAAATCCAAGCATTTTTCGCTCTCTCTTGTATGGATGGGAAATAGCTGTTTCATGAACAAAACTCAAATGTTCTTTGATTTCATCATGGAAGAGACAATTACAGTTGGAAGTCTCCAACGGCAAGACCATTTCAGAAAACATACTGATATCACCAGCAATCACTCTGCACTCATATAGCTGTAGGTTTTGAAAATAGCCAATTACTATATCTTTGTCCATGAGCATGTTTGTTAATTTACCCTGAAGTGATAAATTGAGAGTTGACCTCACAAAAATAACAATAATACAAATCTGCAAGATAGCCAATTTCAAAATAAACTGGTTGTCTTGCAACTTTCCGAGAAACTCTTTCCTTTGCTGAATGGTCTCCTTCAAGAAACATTGCAATCTGGTCCTACAGCTCCAAAACGCAATTTAAGACGTTACCACATGCCAACCAAAGTACTTCTGTGTTATAAAGGAGAACCGAAAAGTCAACTCCGACTTATTCACACAGAACCTTGAAGACTTTCGAATTCAGAGCGTTTCCATGAATGTGATTTACTATCTTTATAACCTCCAGAAGTCCGATTGGAAGTGTTTTCACATCTAAAATCTACCGATGGATAACACAATGCATGAACATGACATGTGATTCAACTCGCTTGATACGGGCTTCAAACCCTGAATGGGCACCAAGCAATGAGGGTATTCCATCAGTACTCACTCCAACTAAATTTTCCCATTGCAAACCATGCTTTTGGAATAATCTATGAACTGTGTTGAAGACATCCTCTCAACGAGTGGTTGTTACTAGAGGTTCCGAGAAAAGAAATTCCTTCTTTAAGCAGCCTTTCATCAGATATCAAGTGAAGACAACAAGTTGCAAACATGATTCTTCATCAGTGGACTCATCGAGTTGTACTGTATTTCATCTCTGTTATCACATGTTTCAGGATATCCTCACTAATTTCATCAATTCGACATTTTATTGTATTATTGGAAATT